GTGGTAGGGATTAGGTACAAATTGTTCACATATGGTTTTTTTTAATTATTATTATTGGCTACGTTCCACAGCACCGGGGGAGGGGAGAAGAGAGAGGAAGAAAGAAGTAGGAGGGAATTTGAAACTTACTGGTTGACCTCCCCACCATCTGTGATTGAATTTCTCTCGCCCTCGAAGACTGAAGCTGGCATCAAACACTGGGTCATACATCGAATTGCCAACAATCCCATGTGATTCAGGATAGAGTCCCTTTGTGCAGAAGTAGATTAATTAGTAAAACCCTAATGCACACCAATCAGTGCTTCATTACCATCCACAAATACAACTAAATTATTTTAAAGTAAGTATCTTTGTAACTACATACCAGAAAAGATTTTTACTTTTGGATAAGCACATTTCAATCTGGCTGTAGTAATGAAAGCCATAAGACATGAATGAAAGCCATAAGACATGTGCTAAAAAGCATAAAAACTCCTGTTACTCAACACTTCAATGTTTTTCACACTGTTTAAGAGTTAGTTTGAAGTCATCAAAGAAAAAGCATAAATGTATGAAAAGAAGATTGATTTGTACTTTCAGTTCTTCTTCCTGAATGCCTTTTCTGGACACAGTAGTTCATTCTCTGGTTGCAAGAGTAACACTTTGCATTTCTATTTTATAACATTTTATCTTCATGAGTGCTTCTGCTAGATAGGTTATTTCTAAGAAAATAATTTAGTCAGGTCACCTAAAGCCATGGCTTTATATCACAATTTGTCCTGCAATAAAAGCAATTCAGGGAGAAGAAGGACAGAAAATTCCTTTCTATGGGCCTCTTCCCTCCCAGCCTATTCTTTCTCCATATGGTCCTGTCATCCATCTAAACATTTGTGCAGTGGCTGCACAAAAAAAAAAAAAAAGAAAAAGGGGAAAAATTGCAGCTGCAGGTGGAGAGTCCCTTATGGCAGCTTTGGGAGCACTGTCAGTGTCACAGAGGTGTGGGGACAGCCTGGCTGCCAGCCCTGCCACCGCAGCACAGCAATGCTGCTCTCACTGCAGGGCCAACACAGTGTCCACACACTCGGCAGCTGCACACTGCCCCGCTGACTTCAGCTGCTCCAGCACAGAAACAACTGCTGCTTGTATTCAGGGCAGCATTTCAGGGGTGGTTTTCTTTCCCCTAGGAAAACTTTGACCTGCAATTATGCAGCAGTACAAGTAACTGCAAAAGCAGGCGTAAGAAAGCATAGGAAAGCTGTGACAGTGTACGATACAGACAGATACAATCCATTTCATTGCTTCAAAATAAAATACTTAAAATACTTGTTCTTCAAAATTAATAGAATACTTAATATAAATAAATACCAAAAAGGATGGACAATGAAGCAGTTATATATATATATATAAAACACATATACGCATATATGTATTAAAACTTGTTTCACACATTTCTACTCCAGTGCAACATTTTATCATGAAAAAATCCTTCCCAGGGACTTACAGTAGCAAGGGTGTACAAGTTGGGGAATGTTTTTGTAGGGTAAACAGGTCTCATGTAAGGAGAATGTGTTCCACAAGATCCTGAAAAATCAAATGCAAACATGAGGAAACAAAGCTCTTAGACATGGAAAACAGAACTAGAGAAAGTAATTTCTGTGTCTCAAAATGATGCATAAACTAGTTAAATTTTAACTAATTTAAATGAACTTTCTGCTGCTTAACAGCAGTCAGCAGTAAGGGCAGTAGTAAATCTACTTGCACTCCTTTTACTTCACAAGTAACAACTGGAATAATGTATCCAGATGACAACAGAACCAGCTATATATTCCCACAAAATGTTGAGTTTTTTTTCCTGAGCTAGTCTTCATCCAGAGTCATTGGAACTCCCTTGTTAAGTAAAACAACATGAGAAAACACAAGTTTATTTTAAGTAATAAATACACCAAAGCTGCAGTTTCACACTGGACTTTGTGGCCTCAGCCCCCCCCATCACAGAATCATTTAGGCTGGAAAAGACTTTAAAGATCGTTGAACCCAGCCATAGCTGGCTACACAAATATGAGGGCCAGCACATACACACAGGGGAAAAAACCCAACATATTTCAAGGGTATTGGCACACACAAACCACCAAGCAATACAGAGAGGCTCAAATATACTGCACACACACCCAGTCCTCCACCCAAGGGAATGCCCATTCCCAGGAAGGTGAGTGCAGGTCATGTTTTCAGGCAGTTACCAGGCACCAAGTACAGCTTCTGCAGCCACTTATCCATACATATCTGACATTTCTGAATCAAGTGGAAAATTTTGTGGGCACCTCCCATCAAGCTTGCAAGCATGCATGATACATATAATGTACTAAAGATGAATTTCTTTGCTGACAAAACCACATGAAGGTCACTGATTTTGAGCAGCATTTCCCAAAGCAGCAGCTGTGTGCTGCATTATTCAGGGTGCTTTCAAGTCACCAGTTGATGTCACCTGATTTAAGGGGCACCTCTGCGGTTTCATCTCCATGCTGACCCTTCTGTTGATCAATGGACAATGAAAGTAATTTGGCTGCATTTGGTCCTTCATTTATTGGCAGAAAATGGATGTACTCACTCAGTTTTTCAATATTGGGCATGACCTTGTTCCCTTTCTTCATATATGATGCACGGAAACCATCAACAGAAAAGATGATCAAAGGAGGACGAACAAACCTTTAGGCAAAAGCAGCAGGAATAAAAAGCAGCATTTCAAAATTTTAGTTTTTTTAATTTCTGCTTGCTCACTGAGCCTCCAGGAAATCCAAAAGTTCAGTTGCTGTATAAACTATATACAGACTAAGTCTTTTACATACTTAACGGGCCAAGAGAAACTGATAATCCTCACACTTAGCAACAGCCAGTGTTCACTCAGTCAGTGAAAGGGCTGATATCCAACATAAAAGACATCTTCCCTGAGCAGCTAAAAACATATAACCCATAAAGGCAAATGCTTATAGAAGGTGATGGAGAAGGAATGGACAAAAACCCAGCCCAGCACACAAACTCTAGTTAAAATCCACATGTCCCATGACAGTTGGTCTTCTTTCTCCAGCAGAAGTCCGTGGGGCATTTGGAGCATGCTCTGTCAGGCACAGTTAATTCTAACATGCTAAAGATGGCTGTATTTCACCCTACTTTATTATTTCTTGAATTTACTACTGCTACTGAAAGTCAAGTCCAAGCCAGCAGATATGTGCCATGGATGGACACACCTGGACTTTTAATGTCATCTGCTGCAGGGGCTAGCAGCTGTCATTGTCACCTGGAGAAACATCTCCAAACTATCCTCCTAACAGTGCAGGCTGAGCTGCGACCCAACACAGCACCCAAGCAGATGCTTACCTTTAGGAATAATAGTGAGATAAATGGTTTCAGAAGTTACTTGCTTTCTCCATGTTACTCATGTGCTCAATTCCTCACTAAGTCAAGCCTGTACCAAATTGCAGTTTGGAAATTCTTTCATTTAAGAACATAATGCTATAAGTACTAAATTCCATTTTTAAAAAAATGGCCTGAACTGTGTTCACATATGTCTTAACCTGAATTTTACTGAAAGCAGAACAGCCTAGGCCTTTCCACTGACTTCAGAGGACTCTGGCTACCTTCCCTATGCATGTAAGTGAAGCAAGCAAACCCAGCAGCAGGTAATCTGAAATCTGAAGACCAAGAGCTCAAACTCAAATATCATCCACCAAAACTCACCCAGCAGCTCAAAGGTAAATGCATGACAATATTATGAGCCTAAATAAAGGCAAATGCATTACAATATTATGAGCCTAATTGTACAAATGTTGAAACCCAGGAAAGCATCCAACTCAGTCATTCAGCCTGCATGACAGAGCCAGTGCAGAAATGTGGTGGGCAAAGGTCCAAGGCAGAGCTGGGGACCACTGGACTTGCTACATTTGCCTTTCCAGGTGCAAGCAAAACACTTACCCTGCTGGACATTCAGGAGCCTTTATCTCTTCACAGTCATCATCCACCCAGTGGGTTTCTCCTACCAGAAAAGTCACATTGGAGTTTCAAAAAATAAAAAAATATGAAATCTGTGGATACAGCTACAGGTTTCACAGAAAATAGATATTAAAAAAATAAAGTCTACCTCCAGTTAATGGACTGACTCATCATACTTCTCATGAATAATGAGAATGTCTTTTCACAAAGTTGAACTAGTGATCTGATTACATTCTATTCAACAAAAATACCCAAAGAAGCACTTCTACAAGAAGCTCTTAAAACTGGAGTTAAAAGTGTCCTTTTGACTGCAAGAGACAGTGGTAACACCTTAGACATAGTGGTCTTCTATTTTAATTATTTTTTATTTTTGATCTGTCAAAAACAGGTAGTGCTGCTTCTGGCTGTGAATTCCCACCCTCCTCCCATCAGTTCTAATGGCTCCAGGAGCTGATTCAGCTGGCTAAAGGCCCCAAACAAAATTCCTTCTGGGGAAGAAAAACAACTCTAAATAGTTTCCAGCTGGCTTGGAGAGATGAACAGCTCATGGATCAGGTGAGACTTAAGCTAAAAAAGACCATTAAATATACTTTCAGAGCTAGATTAGTTAAAATTACTTTGTGTAATCAACTATTTTCTTAAGGTTTTCACTGCTTAATGCTGTCTATAGAGTAGCTTATGACTTGCACTTCTACGGGTCAATTAAAACTAACCAGTCCACTTCCTGAACCTGGCACTATTAAAGGAACTGCAATTCAATTAAAAGAACAAAACAAAAAACATCATCAAAAAGACCTGCACAAAATGTGTGCTGCAGCAATTCCAACTGACCATGACAGGAGGTGGAGGGACAACTTCCAAGAGAAAAAAAAAAACAAACACCACGCTATCCTCAGATAGGCAAAGGCACAAATAAAGAGGAAACACTGTTCTCACTTAAAGCTTAGTCCTGTCAGAGTTCCAGGGTCATTGTGATAGTTTGTTATTACCCAATTAATAGAAGATTATGTACATTAAAGCTGGATACAAACAAATTCCTCTCTCTTGACCCTTGTGAGAGGAAGCTAACAAAAAAGGCAGGAACTGGAAACTATACCAGTATTTAAGTGGTCTCAGCTTTTGGTTTCTTTGGGAAGGGGAAGGACAATCTACAGGGATTTGTTGGAAAATACACATTTCATTTGGAATCCCAACAGCAAAATCCAAGGAAATAGAAAGGCCCATTTTCAGTGTATGGATGGATCTGGACTATTATAATTTGGTGAACATATGCATTTGTCCAAAACGGTGAAACAATTTCAAACTGTAACCCTTGCCCCAGTAAAGTTAATGAATGAAGAAAAAGTAGAAACTAGGTGAGATACAAAAGCAAAAACCCGTGGGGCTCATAACCAAGGATCAAGACCTGCTGTGAATGGCAGACACAGTAGACAGGCAGGATACGCTCTAAAAGAGCAGAGCAGTGGATGAAAATAAAGTCTTCAAAGCCCATCCACCCGCCAAGCAGTGCAGGATGTTCTGCAGCCATGGGGTGTCACCGTCACCTGAAGCCCACACCACCCACCTGAGAGTAATAGCCCTTGGGTTCTTGCAACTGCTCTTCCACAAGATACAGATATTAGGCCAAGTAATTTGAACAGGAGTTTTTGTGGTGGGGGTGGAGAGGTCTTTAAGACAGAGATAACATATCTAGGAATGCCCTGTTCCTTCTGAGATCATCAGATATCCCTGCAATCCCTGTGATGCAGCCAAATGCATCTGAACACTGTAGAGCTTTGCTTTAAACTCTTCTTCATCCACATTCACCTCTTCTCTTTGTACCATTATCTCTACAGGCAAAGATAATTTTCTTCAACATATTATTCACCTCTGCTATAGCCCAGAAAATTAAAAATGTGATTCCCAACTTCCCCCACCTCCCTAAAAAAAAAGCCAAAAAAAAAAATGACACAACGAAGAACAAAAAACAAAAAAAAAAATCAAAGCAAAACAAGGAGAGTAGCTCTTTTGGATGCCTTCTGTTTGGGTTGGAAAGATAAGAGGTAGAAAGACCAAAGACGTACCTTTGCAAATGACTTGGTAATTAGTACAGCAATCTCCTCTACTTAAGCAGTCTTCAGAGCAGTGACAAGCATTGTCATCATTCCTGGTTTCTCCACAGCGATCTTTGGTACACTCCCAGCCCCTTGCTAAAATATTCACAGTGTAAGCAAGAATGAGAGATTGTAATCAAAACAAAAAAGTATTCATTCACGCTATAATGAAAACACTCTAGTCGTTAAAATAGGTATGTCAACCAGAAAAAAAAAGGACCCTTGTCACTTGCAAGTGCAGGAGAGTTCCTTCGCAAACACGTGCATGAGTATTTCTGCTACCCTCAGGTGTTGTATTCCAGATTTAGTACAATCTGAATGCCAGAAAAGGTGTGGAAAGGAAAAGACAAAAAAGGATCTTCAAAGATAAATGGTGGAACCTAAAGCACAAACTAAGAATTCTGGTGTTTCCTGGGTAAACTTTGCTTTTCCTCACAACTACTGCAGTCCCCTGTTCAATCCACAGAAAATAAGAAAGTAGAAAAGAGACTATGTCGATGCAAAGTGATGCCTTACTCCCACCATCAGTTCCTCCCTCAGAGTACAGATCCAGCAGCAACCTCAAAGATATGAAAAAACAAGAGCTGCTCTTCAAGGAAAAGCATGGCATGGCTGCTGTGAAAACTCCATCATTTCTCATCTTGCAAATTAATTTAAGATCTGGCTTGTCTAAATTAGGTGCTCTCTCAAGGGTAGTACATTGCTTTGGAACAGGCCTATAGTTTTAAACGTATGATTTTCCACAATAAGGCCCACCCAAGCAACTGTAAAAATCACTTTAGACAACATGCACCCAGTAAAAAGCCACACATCAGAGCAATGTCTTTTATCCCCTTTTCTGCTTCATTTGGGGCTTTTTTCTGTAAATGTGTAATATTTACAGATCACATGTGATAATTGCCTGAATAAATGCCTGTGGGAGTACATGACCACCAGCACAACAGCCCCAGGGACTATACAGGTATCCATAGGCATGTGTGAACACATGTGTCTGCTGTGGGCAGGAGGGTAAGAAACTGAAATTCTGCCTTTTGGTAGCAGATATTGTGCTGAAAGTCTGCAAAAGAAGGCTCTCATTCTGCAACCATTTACAGCAGGGTCGGAACAGCGTCAGCCTAAAATTCAGAAACTTGTGACCTGGAACCAAACTTGTTTTTCATACTACATTAGCTCACTCTTTTTTGATACCAATCTATGAAAATTATATAATCATAAACAGAACTGAGGAAGTCAGGACTTTCAAGCATGGCATATCCATGGGCAATAATATTTTAAATCATTCCACTTTTCTTCTGGCTGTTTAGTAACTGTAATACTTCAGTAAAGCATGAAAAAGTTCAATGGCTAAAATAAAAGGCACCTGTGTCAACTCTGACCACTGTGCAAACACTAAAGGAGATGGGTACAACTAATAATGTAACTGCACTATGCTAAGAAGTAAAATATAACTCATGTCCCTCTTTGAAGTTTTCCTTGCCTATGACTCATGGAAGAAAAAAAGCCAAAAAAGAAAGTTAACTTACTGCTGTATTTCCATCCCCCAGGGTCCAATTAATTGAAGTCAAATGTTTCTACCAGTGCAGTAATATGCATCCCAACACCTGGAAATCAGGGTCTGGGACACAGGTAGCAAGCTCTGGCTGTCCCCTGCTCCAAGAGGACTGGCACTCCTTCAATGATCCCAGCTTCCAAAGCACCCTCTCAAGTGAGCCAGAATTGCTCCAATATTAAGTTATCAGCTGGAAAAAGTATGGCTGACACAAAATGACCAATGTCCAGTTTTTAGCATGACTTTTGATTGTAGACTAGAGATCAGACTGGTGCCTAAACACTGATTATTGCTTTTAATTTAGTGTCAGATGCTCAGTTTTTCTATGTGGTATGAAGAGTGCTCTGCTTTTTCTGACCCACAGTAAGGAGCAATAGGTGTACATTCCAAGTGCTGCTTTCAAGGAAACATGGGCTGCATTTTCACAGAATCACTAGGTTGGAAAAGACCTCCAAGTTCATCGAGTCTAATCCGACCCTAACACCTCAGCTAAACCATTTGGGCTGAGCTGAGCCTGCCTGGCCAAGGAAAGGTGAGGAGGAGATGCAGGTTATGCCAAGGAGTGCTGGTTTATCAAGCAGGTCCTGACCATGGGCAGAACCCAGGTGTCAGCAGCACCTGGCAGTGCAGGACAGGAGACCCATCATACCTGTCTTTAAGCACAGCTCATCAAAGTCGAAGCAGCAGCTGTTGTAGCTCTTGCACAGGTTGTCACAGCGGCAGCCAGGAGGCTCTGCCTCTTGAAGTTCAAAGCATCTGTTTTTGCAGGAGCCAGAGGTATTGATCCAGGGGGAATCTGACAGGACTGTATGGAACAAGAAACAGGGCAACATCTGTCAGGCTGGCAGTGATGGGACAGGCAGCTCAGCCCTGAGCCACTCGAGTGAGCAAGACCTTGGATGCTTGCTCTGGGAAAGGGAAGGGAGCAGGGAGAGCAGAAGAATCGCTAGAAGAAATGAAAGAACAAAAAAAAGAACAAATTCAAAAAAAAGTTGTTCTTTTGAGGAAAAAAAAAAGGAAGCAGCATGCTGTGATAGCATTCTGCAAAGAAACAGCCCTGGCTTTACCTCTGTAACAATCAAGAGATCATTAGCAGAAATGTATTGAAGTCTCCAAGGCCCCATTCCAGGAGCTGCAGCTATTCCACAGAAGCAGGCCTTTGTTTTCAGAAACCAAGTGACATTTTCATGGCTGGCTGGGCAGTTTACATAGGAAAGGACCCCAATTAATCTACATGCAGACAGCAGGACTTGGTTTGCTACATTGGAAGGTGTCAAATCAATGTGAAGCGTGAAAGAAAAATTTAAAATGCTCATAAATTAATGGAGAAATAAAGCAAGGCTTTTTGATGGGCTTCTGCAGAGCACCAAATTATAAAAAACTTTAAAAATACTGAAGTATTTAAGAAATCAATAATTATTATGTGTATAGGTAAATGGAGGACTGCCAGTCTGCAAACCATGAATAATGTATTAGACTTCAATAATCTATTTATTAGTAAGGCCCCTTAATGTCAAAGCTGATATATGTCTGCTCTTTTCTCAAAACTTACTATTTTATACATTTTATATATTTTAAAAGTTTTTCTTGTCAGAGGATCATACATAGCAGCTTATATGAAGCACGAAAATTGTGTGTTGTTCTCTAGGGTTAATTGTATTTTATGAAATAAAGTAAGGAATGTATGCTATCCTTTAAATACAGAGGTGTTCCAAGGAAAATTTCACAACGCCTTTTGTTCCTTGAGAGACCTATTAAAAGCATTTGAAATTGTCTTGTGTTTTGTTTTCTTTTAGGCCATGGTTTGGTTTTGGGTTTGGCAAACCTCACCATGATTAGCAGTATGACTTTTAGAGGACTGACGCAATGGCACTTTTGGGAAATAGTTGCTCTGATATTTTCTTATGCATTTTTCCCCCTACACTTTTACACAGCTGAGAGTTTAGTTTCCACATAAACTGAAGGGAAATCTCTTCCCAAATAAGATGGCATTAACTGAACACTGTGAGAATGGATGGAAAAGATGATGAAGGGGGAGCTTGGAGGTGACATGGTAGCAGCTGATGTCTCACCAGCTCTCATCCCAAGCACTACTGCTCCACCACTTCCCTCAGAGTGGCATTGACTGGACATCAGCACAAACCACTTCAGGGGGTAAACCTGTCAGAAAATCAGTGCTACAAGCAAGATCATAGGGAAGAAACACAAATGTACCGTGGTTGCAGTTGTGGCTCATGACAGTTACATGTCAAGGCACACTCATGTAACTGCTAGAAAAGGTAGCAGCAGACAACTCCATCTTTCTGGTTTTGTGGGGCTTTATTTCAATCAGGTCAGCAGCACTCAGGGTAAGTAACATCATACACACAGTGAAGTTTCACTCTATAGGTACATACCCTGCAAGCATGCTCTTGGTGAGCCATTAGTATTTTGGCCATCTGAAATTCCAAGGAGATAAAGATTGTGCATCTATGCTTGCAATAAACAGATCAGTATTTTCTTTGCTTACATAAGTGGGTCGCAAAGCTATGCTAGAAATTAATCACATGAGAATTGTTTCAAATCATGTTAACATTCAAGATATTCAGCGCTATGAAGCTGCGGTCCTTATTCTTGATGACAGCTGCTTCCTATCAAATGCTTCTGAAAATCTATTACCAAAAATATTTTAATGTTATTTAACCTCTCCCTCTACTTTCTCTTTTGGAAGCTATTATCTTGTATAATCACAGATCCAGTAAACTGCAGATTAAAGGTATTAGAAACTTGAAAGCATTACATACCAGCATATAAACCTTACCCTGGGCATTACCCTTTTCATTTCAAAGGGCCAAGAGTGAGATCTTTTCAGAAGGTCAAAAAAAACCCCCAAACTAGCATATCAGCATGTGTTTAGGAATGAGAAGGTGTAAATCTGACTACAGATTATGTACGAGATACTTAACTGCAGCTCAAGGAATGTCTACCTGTTGTAAAGAGCAACTCACTTATACCAGGAAACCACCTGAACAAACTGCCCACAGAAGCTGTGCAAACTCAGAGTTTGAACATTTTGAAGAAGGGCTGGGCCGAAATCTGTCAGAAGCACTTCTGTAACAGCTGACCAGGTCTTGGGGTACGGAGGTCTACATGGCTGTTCAACATCCCTTCTAGCTCCATCTTCTATAATTGCAAGTAGGGTTTCCATTTCATTCAAGAAAGGTTTAGCCCACCTACCTTGTCTAATTTTTTCACATCTCTTGACAACCACCTCATTAGTGATGTGGTGAATTATCCCAAATCACTTAGCAAATTCAAGTCACATATCCTGAGTCAATGTAGGACACTTTCCATATCGCAGCACAAAAGAGAACTTGCTGAATTTCTCCAAATACATTAAGATTGCTCCTTTGTTTCTCATGCTTGACCTTGCCTTTGCAGCCAGGCCATGTTTTTCAGGTCGTGCACAATGCCATGGCACACGTACTGGCACATGCAAAATAGTTTGAAAATATATCATCAGGAGCTCTCTCCCTGGTGAGCACCTTCAAATTAACAGAAACCGCTGTACAGAACAAACTTACACAGTTTAAAATCCTTTTTAAAATTCCTGCATCCCTCCACAGCTCCTGCATTCAGATGGTGCAGCAGGCACAGGGACCTCAGCCTGAAGGTCCTTCCTTCCTTATTTTATACATAAACCTTTTCACATTGTTTTCCATACATTCCTTTTATCACCACTAAGTTCAAAACAGCCATCTAATTGTCTTCTAAGTCATAGGTTAGAGAGCAAAGCTACACAGGGCAAAAGTGCTTTTGTGATTCATTTCAAGGAAGTTTTACATTTCTATTTTAAGGGTGTTACATTTATCTTAGAAAGTGCCATATTGAACTATTTCTTTTGATTCTGTCTGATTACAAGGTTTAAAAGTAATAAAATCCATTCATTTACAGTAGTGTTTAAAACAGGACTATACAATATAGATATGCTTACACAGTCATTATAAGAAGACTACCTAGTAAAAATTTGCCATTTTGGATCCCATATGGAACCTATATGGAACAACCAAATACTTAAACAAAACATCTGGAGCGCTAGTTCTGCTAGATGATACTCAACTTGCTTTTCATTTTTGCAATGAGTTAAATCCATATGAAAAGTTAGATAAGGGAAAAAATACAACTGTTCCAACAGAAGGAAATCATGACTCCATTTTTAACGGCATGCTTAAAACTACAATGAGAAGAGACAGAACGACTACAGTGTTCCAGAAATTACTAAGGCCATTTTCCCTGAAAGCGCTTAAAAAGATGGCTAGGAAATTCATAAAGCAAGTAATTTACAAAGGCAAAGTTATGGAAAAATGTGAGCTTTGGTTCTCTACTGTCTCTTAAAATTTTGGGCAAAAAATTTGTTTCAACTAAAAAATTTGTTGGGTGCAAATATTCAACATCTCAAGTGTTTAAAGACATACATCTGTACACTGTAAAAAGACAAGAAGAAGGGGTGTTTTAGCCGCTGTGGTGGTACTTTGGAATGCATTTGCATGGTACTAGGAAAAAGCATGATGTTTTTGGCTCACAGCAGAATTCTATGCTAGCTGAATATGAAAATTTGCTTACAATTATGGTATACCTCTAGAGAAATAACAAATTAGTTTCTACAAAAATGCTTGGTGAAGAAAGTGTTTTGTCAACATAAAATAATTAGTTCTCAAAATCAAGACAGTTGGGAACAAATAAGCTAAAGAGCAGTGAATTTAAAAAAGAATTTATACCAATTTTTTTTCTGGGTATTTCATTGGACTGCTCTTCTGATGAAGTAGAATTGGAAGTCATGCAATTAAAAGTGACTAAGTAGGTTCTTTGATCACAGTGCTTTCAGTTTGCTAAAAAACCCACACATCTCCAGTGTAACTTTTTACTGTCTATACTTTACTGTGACTATACTCCTTTATGCTTTGCTATCATACTTTTTTTCTCCTGCAATAGAAGTAACCAAGCTACATAAACACAGAATGGACAAAATCCTCCATTACTTTTGTCCTTTGTTATTGCACCCTTGACTGAACTACTTCAATGCCAGATGCTGGGTCAATCCCACCTGTAAGCAAATTTTAATAATTTCCAAAAGTACCCCATCTCCTGCCCTTTTCAAGGGATGTCCATTTCTTCCTACTTTTCTGGAATGCTGAGCTAGTCCTCCTGCTATTGGAAGAAGCACATAGCTACTATTCCCAGCTCTGGAGGTGTTGAACAGTGCTGGCTGGCTCAGCAGAGTCGGCACTGATCAGCTGCAATGGAACTCCAGTATCAGACCTCTGGGTCTTCAGTAAAAACCAGCTGAGCTCTGCCCTAGACAGTCACCAGTGAAAGCAAAGCAAGTGGCACTCAGGTGTTGAACACTTGAAATGCAAATCCTTCCCATCCCTATTACACACACTACACATCTGTTCTACAGTTAACAATCTAGAAGATTTTTTTAAAAAATTTTTTCAAGCAATTATTATTACTTCTATAATGATCAAAAGCAACAGCCACTATCTTCTTGATTACCTAAAACGCCTCTACTCAGTGACCAGCAGCCCTGATAGTGGCTGTAATTAGACACAAATTCCTCAAAGAGAGAGGACAGGAGGACACAGATACATTACCAGGAACGCAACAAACTCTGGCCATGGCAAACAATTTTATAATTAAAATTCACAGGCTATCATTACAGACAGGCATTGCAAATGAAACCCTTTCACTTCAGTTATGTTAACCAGCTCTAAGTCAATGACCGCAAGTTTTCTTTCTCCTGCCAAAGAAACAGAGACACAACTCAAGCCTGCTTTTTCTTGAATAAAAAAAGACTGGTTGTCTGGTTCATACATTTTTCCATTTAGACTATGCTTGAGATCACAGAACCCTATACCACCCCACAACACAAATAACAGTTCCTCCTGTGGCATGTTCCTGCTGTCTTCCAAAGGAAAAACAGAAGAAGGCATAAGAAAAGCAGAGGACTCAGTGACAGCACATCTGCACGAGCACCTGCTCTGCTCTCCCAGCCCTCTCCGCCGTCAGATGTCTGCCGTCTACTGTTCACAAACCATCATGACCTCAGGAGCCACAGAAATCCCAAAAGCCTTCCTCACCAGTGCCTCTTGAAAGCATTAATCAAGTTTCTAGAAACCGCTTCAATAGCTACCAAAATAAACCCACCACCCACCCTTAAAGCCATCAGGGAGTTTCTCTTAGCGCTACAAGGAAGCTGTGCAGAGTACAAAACACTGCAAACACTTCAGGAGCCGATGAGACCAGTCTCTGTGAGGCTGACAGTGCTCAGTCCTAAAATAAGCTAAATTTTCCATAGTCACATGCACACAGAGCAAAAGTTTAAGTAAATAGGAGACCTATAGGTGAGTCCCAAAGGTCAACTGACTCGGGCTCAGTGAGTTATTTATTCTTCTCTATATCCTAGAGGGAAAAGGAACAAGAAAACTACTGTTACAGAGTAGGAACGGTTCCTAACCACATTCTATAACGTAAGGATATATGGTGATGTACAATTTATGTCTGTTACTGTACCTGAGACTGGGCCCTCATCCCATTCTTCAGATCTCCTAAATCGATTTGTCGTAAATCCCATGCAGACATTTACTCCAAAGGCAAAAGCAAATAAGGATATAACCTGCAAAAGTAAAATAGCAAAGTAAGCAAACTGTGCAAGAAGCAGGACTTTTGCACTAAGAGCACTATGCATAAAGGGCAGAGATGGTCCTCAGTACATTGAAGCTCCCCAGCACTGCAGTTCCCATCACTGAAGCAGCAGCTGACAGCGTCACCGTTGGAGAGTAACACAAACCAGAAGGGGTTTATGAATAAAACATCTCTTTCTGAAGCTGAAACGCTCCTTTTTGTAGGAACTTATTCAGGAGAGACGGGCTACTCCTCCTCTAAAAGCAAACACGCTCCTCTCCTCCCCTACCTGGTGCGAGTGGACGCAGCCCTGTTTAGCCATACCAGGGAATTCTTGAAAAGCCTGCGTCTCACCGTCGCCTTTTTTTATAGTGAGCGGAGCAGAGCTCTGTTTGCTCGGGGAGTTCAGGCTATTAGCTACGAGTAATCCCACCTGGTGAGGTTGACAGGCTCGTGTGATTTGTCCAGGGGGTGATTTCATCATGTTTCACTCACAAATCGCAGCTCCGAGTGCGAGAAGCTCCAGGCATCATCGCTCGCTACGCCCTCCCCCCGAACGCACAGCCGCGCTTTTATGTGGTTTCCTCTGGCAGAGCGGGGCTCGCTTGTGCCGCTGCGGCCAAGAGCTGTTCCTGCTCGTTTTATTCTCCTCACAAAAGTAACGTGCTTAAAAGAGAAACCAAATGCGTCTCCATCTGGCTCAGAGAACAAACGGGGGCAGGCTCTCTGGGGGCTGCGCGATGCAGAGCTCCCGCGGCCGCTGTCAGGTGTGGCGGCCCGGGGGGCTCGGCCCCGCTCGGCCCCGCTCGGCCCCCGGCTCTGGCAGTGCCCG